CTATGCAGATCTATCCCATAGTGTGACGTTTGGGTCATTTCCAGGTTATTCCCACTTCACAGTGAAGAATTTGGGAGGATTGAGTAAGGCTCTTCCATGCAGTTTAGGAGCTGGGGTTGGGACATTTCTGAGAACTGACAGGCTGTTATAGGTGTACTTGTTTTGTGCAGTTCCTAGGCAGACAACAGGAGAACCTGTGTGAGGTGCCAACCTAGACCCTGCCAAGTTTAGATGCAAGTACATTTGCCTTCAACCTAATCTCCACCCAGCCCACTCTGTCCTCCCAAGTGCTGAATGAGTGAGGAGCTGAGCCTTCTCAGAGAGGCAGGTTCTTAATAGAATTTCAAGAGAATGTAATGGCAGAGTAGGCAAGATAGTTTCTGTGTCTTGAGGATTTACTGTCCTTTGCTAAACCTTCTTACATGACTTTGCAAGCCAGCCTCAGGCACCGAGTTCCCACCTGTCCACACCTCCTGGCTTTCCTGCAGCTGGATGGCAAAGTTCCTTCTCAGACATGATCTCATGATTTCCCAAACAACCCTGGGAGGTGGGCAGAAAAGGTTTTATTGTCTCCATTTGACAAGGGTGGAAACTAAGGCCCAGGGGCCTGCACAGGCTACTCAGGGTCACAGCGGGTTAATGGAAGGTCTCTAACTAGAACCTATATCTCCTGATGCCAGCCCAGAGACAGAAATTTGGAGAGTAAAATGGAAACTTTCATTTCTGTTCAGAGTTGTCACAGGCTTTTTGGAATTTTCTGATAGGAAGCTTTTTCAGGTGACAGAGGGAGAGATATGAACTGACAAGGCAGTTCCTTATCCATACCTATGAAACTCTTTTGTGCAGATGGGGAAGGGGATGGGAGGGGGGTGGGGAGATTGAGCCCAGACTCTTATGCATACTAGATAAGTACTGATCACTAAGCTATATACCCAGCCCTATTTCTTCCCATAATTTTTGAATTAGTGTTGGCAATGATTATCATTAGAGGTTGTCTGTCTCTCCTCTGCTCCCTTCCTACATGATTCCCTGGGTGTCACTCTCCTAAGAGAAGCCCTTACCACCTACCTGTCTCCCTCATAGCCCATCTGGTTGGCTTCCATACTGTGGGGCCTCACCATCTGGCTGCAGAGCCTGTCTGGTGGACAGACAAATGCCTGTCACCATCACTGTCTTTACCTGCCCTTAGGTTTGCTGGTGCACTCTGACTGGGTAATAGGGCCATGTCAGGTTCTGCTTTTTTGAATCTGTCAGGAGTACAATGGTTATGGGGTAGTCCACTGCAAAATTCCACTTCTCTTATCCCCTGTGGCCTAGGCAATCTGTCATAGATTGTGAATGAATACCACCGTAATTTTATTGCTGACCCTCTCAAGCAAAAACTGCTGGTGAGCTGAAGGAGGTGGTGCATGCCTATAATCCCAGCTCAGCTACTTTTGAGGCTGAGTCAAGAGGATAGTATATTTGAGTCCAGCTTAGACAACTTAGTAAGACTGTCTTAAAATAAAAAAGGGCTTGGGATATAACTCAGTGCTTACCTGGTATGTACGAGTCTCTGGGTACAATCCATAGTTTAAAAAAAAATGCTAATGGGAGAGATGCTCCTTCTGATTCCCTCTACTTCCCTTAAAGATCAAAGAATGCTGCAGGTAGATGTATAATATTGCAAATGACAGAAATGATAAGAGTAACAGTGGTATGGTTTCTTCATGTGTGAAATAGAGATAGAGGGCTATTGTAAGTCAGTGGTTCTCAGCCCTGGCTGCCCATGAGTTACCAGAGAGCTTTTAAATATCTCTATCTCCCGGCTATAGCTAAGAGCTAGGAGCTCAGAATCTCCAGGCTGAGACCTAGACCCCAGGAGTTTTAAAGTTTTCAGGGGATTCCAATATGCCACCAAGGCCGAAAACAAGTGCACTAGGATCAAAGAGTTGGCTAATTGTTTAGAACAGAGATATCCCTGCAGAGTGTAGTAGGACACATTTGTAAACCTAGCTACTTGATAGGCTGAAGCAAGAGGATCTCAAGTTCAAGACCAGCCTCAGCAACATAGGCCTTGTCTCAAAAAACAAAAAGTCTTTGGGGTGTAACTCATTGGTAGAGTGCCCTCTGGTTTCTAGTCCCTGTACTGGCGCGGGGGGCGGGGGGGGGGGGGAACAGGGATATTCACATCTGGCTATTTTCTGGAATCATGGGGGAGGGGTTCTTTTAAAATTATGCCAATTTCTTAGCCATACATTCCAGACCATTTGAATCAGTGACTTCTGGCTGTAGGTGCCTGTGCTCAGCTTTCACCTGAGCTAGTGGTTATGCTGATGCTGGGCCAACATTATAAATATTTCCAGTCTTCATAATTATCTAGCCAAGGAATCATGATTCCTATTTTACAGATAAAGAAACTGATGTTCAGAGCAGGTAGCAACTTGAACCATGTGATAGCATAAATAAGTTCCTAAGGCCATGCCTGTCTGATCTTGAAGACTGATATTGTTGATCAATCTCCATTATGGGGGCTTGGGGCATGGCCCTGGAGAAGGGTGTTCTCTCTTCCCTAAATGGCTCAATCAGATGAGGTAAACCAGCCAGCTGTCTTTGCCTTCCCTGAGATTCCCCACAGCAGGTTGAGCACAGGGTCCTTCCCCAGTGAGGAGAGGTGAGATGCAAGGTGTGGCTTGGTATTTGGCTCCTCTTAGTCACCCACTCTCAAAATACTTTCTTTGGAGGGAGATTAAGTCTGTCCCAGTCATCTCCCAGTGCAATGCTGCTCTCACAAGGAAGAAACTCAAGAGGGAAAAGCAAACACTCATTTGCTTTTTGAGAGTTTGAGGAATTTTTCAGGCATGTGACATAGAAAAATGTCTCTGTTCCCCTCATAAGACAAAGAGTAGGCTATGTCAAGGTGACCTAAAACCTGTAGCTCTACTTGACAAAATTGCTTTTTGCCCTTCCCAAACCCTAATGTAGTCAAAACAGCTTGGGATTGGGAGATGGGGGACTTGGTGCTACCACCTGCATGCTCTGTGAGCTTGAACAGCCCACTTAAAATCGTTCAGCTTCACGTTCTCCATCAGACAAGTAGAAACTCAGGGCTGCTATGACAAAGCCACAAGAACTCTGAAATGCCAGTAGCCTCTTGAGGCATCAGAAGAAGAGGAGTGTGGCTGCGCTGCCACCAAGGCTCACAGCCGTCTGGAACCAGAAGGTTTGTCAAGTGTTTGCTGGCATCCTCTCAGGACCCAATGTCCCCAAGGCCAGAAGTAGCTCCTAGTGACCATCAGTGTTAGAGACACGCTGAATGCATTCCATCTGGCTTCACTCCATCTGTATCAGTCCCTAGTGTATGGGCAACTGAGAACCAATGTTTGGGGTCTAAATAGCTGAAACTTTAGAGTTAGTGGACAGTGCAATATAAATTTGGCTCCAGAAAGCCTTCCATGCCCAGCCCGGTCCCCAGGGACCTCTTTCTCCCCAGAACTCCCTCTGCACCTGTTGCCTGTGCCTTTGGTCCCTGCTCCTTACTGCCCAGCACACAGCAGATGCTCAGTGTTGAGTGAATGGGGGATGAGGAAGGAGACATTCATGAACCTGTGTTTGTGACATTTCTAAAGTGCTTGCCATAGAATGCTGTATAAGTGTTGGTGAATCTATGCCTTGCTTGCTCCACATGACTTTCTTGTTGTCACTCAGTTTATTTTGAAGACCATCTGACTTAGGGTTTTTCTAATAATAGAATGGTCTAGATGTAATGCTATTTTCTGAGGTTGAGGCAAATATCCAGGGTATCTCATCACCCCAGAGCCACTAAGAGAATACTTCTTTAGTCTGGAGTTTGGTGGCCCCTTATTAAGCCATTAAGCTGAACCGTAAAACTTTCTGATCTGGGTGTGATGGCTCAAGCCAGTAATCCCAGCTATTGGGGAGGTTGAGGCAGGAGGACTGCAACTTTGAGGTTGGTCTCAGCAATTTGATAAAAGCCCATCTCAAAACAAATATAAAAAGGGCTGGGGATGTGGCTCATGGGTAGAGCACCGTTGTATTTAAAATCTAGTACTAAAAACAAAACAAAACAAAACTTTCTGGGTTACCCAAGAAGTGGGTTTGTGGGGTGGCAAGAAAACCTGGGGCAGAGTAAAAAGGGATTATGAGAACCCTCAAGAGGTGTGGCCACTGACAGTCTGCAGGGACTTAGATCTGCCCCTGCTGATGGCCTGCTTAGAGATGGAGAAGCATAAGATTGCTGCTCTTCTCTTGGGGGTGGGCTGCCCTTGGAGCACTTAGGAAAGCTGGCTTAGGGCTACTTGCCCCTCTGGCATGGGCACCCTTTCATGGTTATTGCTTTGAAAGGATGAAGTGAAGGATTCCTAGGCCCAGCCCCAGTTGCTACGGAGCAGGCCTTCACCCCTGTGACTGTCTGAGGGGCTTTGTGGACCGTGGGTTAGGCAGCCAACTTTTGAGGCTTGGGTTTGGGATTAACACTGTGATGACCTCAGGCAAGCCAGTGCCTCAGTTTCCTAATTTTATAACTCTGTAGTCACACTGTCATGGTCTCCCACTATGATGATTACCCTTGTCAGGCTGCCTGTACCCCAACCTCCACCCCAACCAGAATACCTATCAAGACCACCTGCTTATAACACTGTGATTTCATCTGGTGGATTAGACTTGGATGCCAACTTTGCAAGGTGATGCTTTGTAAGGACAAGGCTGTCATCCTGATCAAGTCAATACTTTTCAGGGGCTTGGTGTTCACCTTTGTATACTCAGGATAACAATTTTTACATGCATTCCTAGTTAAAGGTAGAAGATTTATGAACAGAAGGGAAGCCAAGTACTTGTGCCATCTTGGTCACTGGTTGTCAGCCAGGTGGGGATGCTGGCCAAGGGCATGATTTGTCATGTTCTGGTAGAATGACTGAATTAGTAACCCAGTAGCTGGCAGTGGGGGTAACTTCCCCAGTGGGCACAGGACATCCTAATTGTTTGTGTCTGTGTTCCTTCAGTGGCCAGTTTGCTATCGTGAAGAAGTGCCGGGAGAAGAGCACAGGACTGGAGTATGCGGCCAAGTTCATCAAGAAGCGACAGAGCCGGGCCAGCCGGCGGGGTGTGTGCCGAGAAGAGATCCAGCGGGAGGTGAGCATCCTGCGGCAGGTGCTGCACCCCAACATCATCACGCTGCACGACGTCTACGAGAACCGCACCGATGTGGTGCTCATCCTCGAGCTGTGAGTGAGGTGCCAGTGATCCACGGGGGCAGGAGGGGCGGGCAGGGTGGTGAAAGCTTTAGCTAAGGCTAGGGGATAGCAATGACCAACCTAAGCTCAGACCAGAGGTGAAGACAGTGGTGGGCAGTTTCCCTCTTCCTCAGTCACCCCCATGCTTCTTCTGAAACTGGACCAAAGGAGGGACAGACAAGCTTGCTGAGTAGCAGGGGCAGAGGGCGATGGTCTCAGTCTTCTTTTCATTGGTCCTGGGGATGGAAGGGAAGAAATGACTGGCGCTGGGTCATCTTCTGGCTGGAGGAGCGTGAGGGAGGGTGAGAGGGGGCAGCGGGTGGGGTGGGGAGCAGGGGAAGCTGTCAGGAAGGAATCTGTTCTATGAGGAGGGGAAGAACAAACATCCTTTGAGCTCTATGACGCTCTTCTCCAGCCCTTTCCTGGGGAAAATCCACTGTATGTGTACTCTGTTTAACACCTTTATTGTTTCCTGATAACTATTATTTAGAGAGGCCGACTATAGGCAAGCATTTTATGGGTGCATTACGTTTGTCATCTTGTTCAATCCTTACAACAACTGTGATGACAGAAATGTCGTCTAACACAGGAGTTATTTTGTATTCACTGAGCCAAGCACTTCTATTACCTGGTCTAGCCCTCAGAACAATGCTATCACATGATGACTCTTATTATCCCCATTTACAGACAAGAACACTGGCAGGCAAGGTCATTTATAAGCCAGGAAATGATAGGGCCAGGACTGGAGTCCATATGACTTGTGCAGACAGCTATAGACATGAGGCAGGACAGCATTGTGTTGGTCTAGGTGAGGAGGACTTCACAGTGGTTGGTGGAATTTGGATAGATGACACCAAGATTCCAGGGGTTGGTTGGCCACTGTCATGTTTACTTGGTGCCTTCTCCAAAGAACAGAGAGTTAGGGCCCTGGCAAACAACAGGGTTTGAGGTGGCCCAGGTCACAGTGGCTATGTCTAGGAAAATGTTCTAGCTGGGCATGTTGGCACCTTCCTGTAATCCCAGCTACTTGGGAGGCAGAATCAAGAGGATCTCAAGTTCAAGGCCAGCCTGGGCAATTTAGTGAGACTCAGTCTGGAATAAATTTTTATAAAAAATTTTAAAATAATGTTCTGAGCTTCATAAACATATGCATCTGCCAGTGAGCAGGGAAATGGGGGCATTTATCTCAGTGATCCTTGAACTTGGGTAGTTTACCTCATGGCTCCATTTCAGATCTCACCTGCAAACCAGGTAGCCATCCTTAACCTGCCAAAAAATTGGGTGTACTACCTGACATTTGAAATCATTTTATTTTAAGAACTATCTTTTTGTTGGCAAGATATTTAAGAAGTACAAGATGGACTGGGGTTGTGGCTCAGTGGTAGAGCACTTGTTTAGCAGGTGTGAGGCCTTGGGTTCAATCCTCAGCACCACATAAAAATAAATAAGTAAAACGAAGGTATTGTGTCTATCTACAACTAATATTTTTTTTAAAAAAAGAAGAAGTACAAGAACGTTTGTATATTCTTGAATTTGATTCAAGCCCGATGTTTAAATGCATAGAATTGTCTGTGTTCTACCCTTCTATAGCACCCAGTGTCCATTCTGTTTTCCTTATACGTGTCCCTATGCCTGTCTGACCCAGATAAAAGCCTGATGTGTTCCTCCAGAGATGGCCTTCAGGGTTCGAAGTCAGCCATTAGTAATGGGCCCTCTTCTTGGGAGCTCAGGGGCATGCACCATCCATTGCATTGCACTGATGCTCCTGCCACTTGTCTGGGCTACTGTGCTTGTTGAGTTCTGATTGTTCACAGTTTCTGTCTCCACTTCTAAGTTGTCTCATTTCTCTCGGCTCTCAGGATGCCTATCTATGGAGTACTAAGGACTTTTTTTTTTCTTTTTGGTACTAGGGGTGGAACCCAGAGGTGCTCTACCACTGAACCACATCACCAGAGTCAGTATCTCACTAAGGTGCCCAGGTTGTCCTCAAACTTGTGATCTTCTTTCCTCAGCCTCCTGAGTTGTGTGTCATTGTGTCTGGCAGTGCTAAGGATTTTTAAAATTAGGAAAGACCCAAGTTCACTAAGACTATGTCTAAATCATGTGTGGCCAGAGTCTGAGAGGGAAGACCTCCAAGGAGAGGAATTCATGGGCTTTTTGTGCTTAGATTTGGTGAATCATGTTGGGCCTGTAGGAATCTTTGACTTCTGGGTCCTTGCTCTGCCCTCTAAGTTACTGGTTTTGCTTAGTAGTTGAATATGGGTGTTGGCATCCACTTGCTCAGTTGAAACTGCTTAGTTACAGGTTTGATGGAGAGTCCCATCCTGATTCCATGGCCCCTCTCAGCACCTTGTCTGGTATAGGGCTTCCATTTACTTTCTGCTAAAGCAGTTAGGAGGAGGAGGACATGAACAAACCTGACTCAAGCTCCTTTCAGCTGTCACTATCCCATATGTGACTCCCTAGAAGGAGTTGCCTCTGGACATGGCTGCTGAAGGCAGGGTTGGGAAGAACTTAATTGTCCATACAAGCTGACTTCAGTGTGGTAGGAAGAATACATTCAAAATCTCAGTAGATTAACTCATGTCTTATATGGAGCTTTCTGTGAAGAACATCAGCCTTCCAGTGAGGGCCAGGCAGGCCCCTCATTGCAGCCCCTACTACTCAGGACCTCCCAGACTCCAAGCTTGCAGAAAGTGATACCCTGTGGTTACAAACCAGAGAATGGCATGGTGGTGGTGCTGAATTGAGTCCAGCTTCCTGGGCGCAGCAGCTCTGGCAGCATTCTCCCCACTGCTACATAAGCAGATCATTTGTGCATACATTCCTGGAAGAGTTCTGGAAAGCATTTGGGCTGGCAGACCAAGCAGGGAGGAAGGAGACAAAGGTCAGGTTAGCAGGCAAGGAACAATCCTGGAAGGCTTGAGGAAGAGGCCAGGCTATTCATTTTGCTTTCCATATCAAAAAGCTAAGGAGATTTAGGTGTGAAATGAAGCCTGGAAGGAGATGGGAAATGACTCCAGAGCACAGGTCATAGAGTCAAGAAGTCCTTGGTAGAAACTTGTTGCTGGACACATCGTGGTGGATACTCAGGAGGCTGAGGAAGAAAGGTGGCTTGAGCCCACTATGCCCCTTGGGTGCCCACAGGCAATATTTAATAGTGAATAGCCACTGCTCTCAACCCTGTCTGTCTCTTCCTCTCCCTCCCTCTTCTCTCTCTCTTCTCCCTCTTCCTCTGTCTCACTCTCGCTCCCCTCCCGCCGTGGTGCTGGCATTTGAAGCCAGAGCTATGCTAGGCAAGTACTCTACAGTGAGATTTATCCCCAGGGTGGGACCCTGTCTCTTTTTAAAAAGAAAAGAAAGAGAAGAAAAAATAACTGTGTTCATGGGAAAAAGAAATAAAGCCCAGGCTACTTGATTAGGCTAGGAAAAGAGGCACCTGAGCATTGATGTGAATGTCCCCAGCCTGGGTATCCAGGGCTTGGATAATCACCTTGGGTAGATTCCTCAGCCTTCCACTTTCTGAGTCTCTGGGAGAGATTCTAAGGGCTGCAGTGACTGTTCCCTTTTTCATCCCAAGGAGATCATGTCACACCAGGTCTCCTGCCCAGGTCACATCTTCAAACAGATGACTAATTACTACTATCCAAAGTCCTCACCCAGCCTCGGTTTTCACTTTAGTGGCTTTGGGGTAACAGGATAGATCATCATTAGAATGATAATCTTTTACATTTATGCAACACTTTATTTAAAGTAGGAATAGTAGAATTATTATTTTAGACTGAGAGATTTGCTGGAGGTCATAGCCTCATTTAACCCAGTTGGGGGACTAGGAGTATAGAAGACAAGGGTGGGACTGGGTTCTGTGTTTCAGAGGTGACACAACAGATTTGAAAATCTGAAAAGGCTCTAGAGAGGCCCCTTGTCTATGCCAAGTTTTTGCTGTCTATATGATACAGAATATTCTCTTATTACTTATTTATTCACTCATTTATTCATTCTTATGTGGTACTAGAGATTTAACCCAGGGATGCTGTACCACTGAGGTGTATTACTACCTCTTTTTACTTCTTATTTTGAGACAAGGTTTCACTAAGTTGCTGAAGCTGGCTGATCCTCCTGCCTCAGCATCCCAAGTCATTGGGATTACAGGTATGTGCCATAGAACCCTGGCCCATATTGATTTTTTTTTTTTTTTTGTACCAGGGATTGAACCCAGGGGCACTTAACCACTAAGCCACATCCCCAGCTCTTTTTCTTTTTTTTTAATTTTGAGACAGAATCTCACTAAGTTGCTTAGGGCCTTGCTAAGTTGCTGAGGCTTGTCTAGAACTTCTGATCCTCTTTCCTCAGCCTCTTGAGTTGCTAGGATTACAGACATACACCACAGCTCCTGGCTCATATTAATATTTTAAATGCTTTGTTTCTTTCCTTTGTTTTATTCACCAAACTTCTTTGAATGGCTTTCTCATACTAGGTGCAGTGGAGTCAAAGATAACCTGGCTGGGGAGAGAGTCAGATAAAGATGTCCAGTGTGTTGAGGGCCTGGCTGTAACTGAACAGCAGGGCAGTGCCTGGGTGGCTTTCACTCTGCATCAACAGTTCAGGCTTTGCTATGTGGAGAGAATGTGGCAAGGGACCTGTGGTGGACTTGGACTTAGGACACCTGGGTCTAAATCTTGGTTGTATCACTTACTAGCTACGGGACCTTGGGCAAGTCACATACTCTCTTTGGACCTCAGTTTCATCATCTGATGAATGGAGATAGTCACTCCATCATACCTCTCAGGGTGGATGAAAGGCACAAGTGAGAGAATGTCTGGGAAAGCACATTGCACAGGTGGCAAACTTTGAACGCAAAATCAAGCCCTTTTCTACCTCCGCCACCCCAGCAGTGATACTGTGCATGGTTTTTACTTCAAGAACTTTATCAAAGACCTTATAGCCTGTACCCAACATTGCATAAAGATTCCTCCCACTCCCACCCCCACCCCAGAGGTGATTAGACTGTTTTCTTCTCCTGTTTCACAAGAAGGAAAGCTGAGCCCTAGAATTTTCACATGCCCCACCCCAAGGTCAAGGTTGAGTCTTTGGTGTAGAAGAATTGGGATCCTATCCTGGCCCTTTGATCCCAGTCTGCAACTCAAGGTGACTCCTGCAGCATCTGTGGGGGTGCTCCAGTTTCCAGCACCTGTCCCAGGTCAGTGTAGGGATACGGTGGGGCACCGGATGACTTCACCATGAGACACTGAGAAAAGAGTGCACCATACTCACCCCCAACACTAAGGTAACCACTTCAGCCCTGTGAGCAGAGTGCCACTGCAGCTCTTACAGATGGTTTGTACCAATGTACCATTCTTGTCTCACTCTCTTGTCTCCCTCTCACCTTCCTCCTGCTCTCTTTTTTCCCTCTTCTTTTTTTATGCCATTGATTTGTTATAAAAATTTGGTCATTTGACCTGGTAATTATCTCAGTTCAGATTTAACTTATTCCTTTCACAGTTATTCAGCACATTCCTCTGCCCCCTGTATTTCCTGTAAATTGGTAGTTAGATCTAAAGGAGGTGCCTTCCTATTGCTACTGTCCAATAGAAATGTAATATGAACTAAATATGTAATTCTGGTTTTCTTTGTGTTGGGGCATACTGGCAACTGAACACAGGAGCATTCTACCACTGAGAAATATCCTTTTATTTTTTATCTTGAGACAGGTTTTCACTAAGTTGCTGAGGCTGTCCTCAAATTTGAAATCTTCCTGCCTCAGCCTCCCTATTTGCTGGGAATAGAGGTATATGCTACCACACCCAACTATTTCCCCCTCCTCTTCTTCTTCTTTCTGTTCCTCATGTATGGTACTGGGGATTGGACCCAGGATGTTCTACCATGAAGCTACATCCCCAACCCTTTAATTTTTTTTTTTTAAATTTTGAAACAGGGTCTTACTAAGTTGCTCAGGCTTGTCTCAAATTTGTATTTCTCCTGCCTCAGTCTCCCAAGTAGCTGGAATTACAGGAGTGCATCACCACACCCAGCTGCACGGATTCTTTTATTCCATTCCAATCTTAATTATATTACTCAAGACACACATACTTCATACAATGATCAATAGGTTACTGAACAGCTAAGAAAGAGTTAATGTAGCCACAGTGTTAAAGAGGTAGCACTGAGAGCAAAGGCAGAGAGCAGACACAGAGGCAAAACCGTTACTGCAGGTGGTCAGAGGAGATTAAGAACCAGCCTAAGAACTTGTTGAGGGCTCAGAACTTGTTCAAGGAACTTGTCAAGTGGTCTGACAAGGTGATGGGGTAAAGGACCAGTGTGTCCTGTCTTAGGGGTCCTTCCCTATATGCTTCAGGTAAGAGAGTTGAATCATTTGGTGGTCTAGTGTGTTTGATAAGCTCATGAACCTATTTTCTCTGATGAGGCTTTGATACACTCATACATCCATCTGCCTCTGATTTAATTTGAGAAGTTCATAGGTGGTCATTTTTTTATTAGTACAATTAATCTATTCATCAGTTTGTGCCTTATGATTGTGCTTTGTAGCTTGGGGTTGTTCTTTTTTGTAAGTTCTATATGTCCAACACCTAGTGGTTTAGCAATTTGACCAGGAACATTACCAAGTCATGCTGCCTTAGCACTTGACTCAAAATGCAGTAACTCAGGGCAAACTACTGCTTCATAACTCAGGGCTAACTCCAGAGTAACTCAGGGTTAGGCACGAGCTGAAAACTGCTATTCCATACTATGTGGAGTAACTCAGAGCAGGGTCACAGCTGGCTCTCTACAGTCTCTAAATTCTTAACTGATTCCAGCATCAAATCCAAAGTTTGTTTACTTTGGTGCCAGAAATTGAACCCAGGGCCTCACACATGCTAAGCCAATGCTCTAACACTGAACTGCTTTCCTATTAACTACAAAGTTTAAAGTCCAAAGTCTCATCTAAATATCATCTAAATCAGTTATGGTGAGACTCAAGGTATGATTCATTCTGAGGCAAATTGCTTTCCAGCAATTTGTGGAAATGAATTTGTATGAATTTGTGACATAAAATGTGTTATATACTTCCAAAATACAATAGTAAGACAGGCATGGGATGGACATTACCATTCCAAAAAAGAGAGAATTTTAATATTTATTTTTTAGTGGACACAACATCTTTGTATGTGGTGCTGAGAATCGAACCCGGGCCGCACGCATGCCAGGCGAGCGCCCTACCGCTTGAGCCACATCCCAGCCCCCAAAAAAGAGAAATAGGAAAAAGGAAAAGAGTGACAGGTTCTTTTTTTTTTTGTACTGGGGATTGAACCCAGGGGTGCTTAACCACCAAGCCACACCCTAACCCTTTTTTATATTTTATTTAGAGACAGGTTTCACTAGATTGCTTAGGGTCTTGATAAATTACAAAGCTAGCTTTGAACTCACGATCCTCCTGCCTCAGCCTCCCCAGCCTCTGGGATTACAGGCGTGCACCATTGCGCCTGGTGGGAGTGACAGGTTCTGAGTCAGTCTAAAACTTGAGACTCCAGAATACTTTTTGGCTTAATGCTCTGCCCTTCAGGCCCTCTGGGACAGAGGTCCTGCCCATACAGCTTTGGGTGGCCCTGCCCTCGTGCTTTTGCTATGCACAGCCCATGCCTCAGTTCTCACGGATTCTCCTGGCAGAAAGTACACCTGTGGCTCAATTGGTTTGAAGTCTCAAGGACTCCCATTCCAAGGAAACCTAGGTGGAGGCAGCCATACCCACGTGACTTTGCTTCACACAAGCCCACAGCAGGGCTCCTCTGGGAACCACACCTGAAGTGTGTGATGATGATAGAGTTGGAGAGCCCACGCTATGAGGCAGCTCTGGGTAGTGAGCCCTCCTATGGTGGTTCTATCCCCCAGGCCCTGGCACTATGGGTCTGTGGTGGGAAGGGCAGACCCCTTTTCTTCCATAATCCCTGAAATGACTTCAGGGTCTTTCTGTCATTGTCTGGGACAGTAGATTGACTAATCTCCCTATTATTATTAGATTAGATGGCTGACTAATCTCCCCCATTGTCTTGCTGAGTAGCAGCTGGCTTCCCTTGACATGGCTGATCCAGATTAATCTCTTTATGAGCAATCCTTGGCCACACATTTGTTCTCTCCTAAACAGGTTTGCTCATTTTTTACCCCCAATGTAGTAGGCTGAGAATTTTTCCCACTTTTAAGTTTTGTTGTCTTTTTGATAAACAATTCCATCTTTAAAATATTTCTCAGCTGGTCACAGTGGCATGTGCCTGTGATCCCAGCAGCTCAGTAGACTAAGGCAAGAGGATTGCAAGTTGGAGGCTGGCCTGGGCAACTTAGCAAGACCTTGTCTCAAAACAAAATTTTTAAAAAAAGGATTGGCAAGCTGAGAGTGGTAGTACATGCCTATAATCCCAGCAACTCAGGAGGCTGAGGCAGGAGGATCCCAAATTCAAAGCCAGGCTTAGCAACTTAGTTGCGTCCTAAGCAACTTTGAGAGAGACTCTGTATCAAAATAAAAAAGGGCTGCGGGCATAGTGATAAAGTACCCCTGGGTTTATTCCCCAGTACCATAAAATAAAAATTTGTAAAACAGGGTGAGCAACTCAGTGAGACAAAATAAGGCTGGGGATGTATGTGGCTTAGTGGTCAAGTGCCCCTGAGTTCAATCCACCCCCACCTCAAAAAAAAAAAAAAAAGAAAGGATGGCAATGTAGCTTAGATGTAGAACACTGCAGGATTCAATCCCCAGTGCTACAAAAAATAAAATAAAAAAATAAAAATAACTAAGAATAAAATAAATAATAAATTTAAAAGATAAAAATTGAAATTAAAAAGATAAAACATTTCTCTCTTTTTACTTACTGTGAGCAGTCAAGAGGAACCAGGTCACTCCTTCAACATTGTACTTAGAAATTTTCTCAGCCAAATATCTAATTTTTTCATTCAACCTTCCACAAATTACAGCATATAAACAAAATTCAGCCAAATTCTTGGCTACTTTGACTTTTTCTTCATTGCCCAGCATCTTATTCCTTATTTCCATCTGAAACCTCATCAGAATGGCCTTTACCCTCCATAGTCCTACTAACATTCTATTCATGACCACTAAGGTATTATTCTCTTACAAGTCCGAGAGTCTCCTCCTGTCCTTCCAAGCCTTCACCAAAATCACCATTCGTAACCCATTCATGACAACATGGACTGGGTGGTTTATTTAAACAGAAATTTATTTCTCATGCTTCTGGAGGCTGGAAAGCCCAAGATCAAGGCACCAACAAATTTGGTGTCTAGAAAGGGTTTACTTCCTCATAGATAGCATCTTTCCTGTACCCTTGCTAGGCGGAAGAGATGAATGAGCTCTCTGGGGGTCTCTTTTATAAGGGCTCCAATCCCATTCATGAGGCCTCCACCTTTATGATCTAATCACTCCCCAAAGGCCCCACCTCCCAATATCATCACCTTGGGGGTTAGAATTTCAAAATATTAATTTGGGGGGACACAGGTATTCAGACCATAGCATCATTCCCCAATGCTTCTTTCCATTCTCTGCCACCTCAGTCATACAGAGAAGATGGTAACTGCCAGGATAACCAGGGACCTGGGCCTAAGTGTCAGCAGAGACCTTTCTGGCAATATCCTCATGGTGATTTGTGCCCTTGACCCCCAAAAGAAAGAATACAGCAATCGGTGTTTGATGTTGCTTGGACAAGATCCTAGGCAGGGCAAGGGGGATTCTGCCTTCCAGGATGCCTGGGGGTCAGGTGCGGGGTGCACCCATCCACCTGGCCTCATGACACACAAGGCTGACCGGGCCTGGGCCCTTCCTGCTGGTGTCTTGCAGAGTGTCTGGTGGAGAGCTGTTTGATTTCCTGGCCCAGAAGGAGTCGCTGAGTGAGGAGGAAGCCACCAGCTTCATTAAGCAGATCCTGGATGGGGTGAACTACCTTCATACAAAGAAAATTGCTCACTTTGATCTTAAGGTCAGTAAGGGGAATAAAGGAAAATCAGCATAGGGAAAAGGGGTCCAGTCCCTCCCGATGTCATTGCCAGGTGGGGCCCAGTGCCCACTTGGCTCTCTTCCCTTACTTTAAAATTCAAATCCTGAGGGCAGCTGGGCACAGTGTCACTCTCCTATAATCCCAGTGATTTGGGAGCCTAAAGCAGGAAGATTGCAAGCTCATGGTCAGCCTGAGCAATGTAGTGAGACCTTGTCTCAAAAATAAAAAGGGGCTGGTAGCTCAGGGGTAGAACAGCCTCAGGTTCAATCCCTAGCACTTTAAAAACCAAAAAGAAAAAAAAAAAAGAAAGAAAGAAATCCTGAGGGCTAGGGATATAGTTCAGTGGTAGAGCACTTGCTTAGCATACACAAGGCTCTGGATTCAATCCCCAGCACTGTTAAAAAAAATAAGTAAAATAAAAATCAATCAGTTAATTAAATAATTGAAACTCTGAAATGATGCATGGTAAGTGTCCACCTCTTCAGATTCATTTCATCTATCAGACTTTCTGCAAATTAGGGCTGACTTCAAGAAGCTTCTTAATCAACTACAGGCACCTTTTCTCTTCCAGGGGTCAGGTAGGACATAGATTTTAAATAAGTAGACCAATGACAGGAAGCTTAAAACCAAACCCATTTCACAAGATTGAACTTTTCAGTAACAAAGAGCTCTGTCCTGAGTGGGTGGAGGGTTTGGAGAATTGCTAAAGTTGGCTGCCTCTCTGGTCCCTGGGAGCACGGTGCAGCCTCCAGCATTCCTCCACCAGAGACTATAAATCTTTGAGCCCAGGGACCACTGGCTGCCCTCTTCCATCCGACCCCAAACACTGGACATAAACTGCTTCCAGAGCCCACTGATCATTTGTGGTAACTGGCATTGAGGGTTGATAAAGTTCACACTGACCACATAGGACTTCATGAAGAAAGAATGTGGTCAAAGTAGAAGGATCTGTTCCTTAGTAACTGACCTCAGTCACACAGACATCTGATGAGCCTTGCAGATATCTAACGAATAAAGGTCCTTGAACTTGTGGTCAGACCCATGTTTCTAGGAAGGAGGCCCATTCATCCTTCTATCCAAAAATCCCTGTGGCCTTTTACCCGGCTCTCTCCTGGATGCCTGGATATTGCTGAGATGCAAAATCACCTGAGGCCTGTCATGGCTTAGTACAGAAGATAGATCAATGGCTCTAAATGTATGATAGAGAGAAGCACAAGGGCACTGGGGATCCAAATGACGATATACCTAAGACTGGGGTATCAGAGAGGGCTTCCTAGAAGAGATGGTATTTGAGTTGAGTGTCCTGAAGGACTCGCAGGTGTTAGCAGAGGGGAAGGCCCTTCTGAGGAAGAGAGGCCAGCAGATTACACATCATGAAACAGCACAGTTCATTTAGGGAAGTACAGGCAAAGGGAATATGTGCTAAGTGGCTGGGAAATAGGCCAGGAGAGGGGCAGGAGGCAGACAAAAGGAGTTGGAGCTAAGCCAAGAAGGTTGCACTTTACCCTGAGAGATACAGAGGCCAGGTGAGCAAGGGTGTGTTTCGGAGCCATCCCTCTGGCTGGAGTATGGATAGGATGGGGATGGCCTGGCAGCTGGGGGCCCAGCTAGCAGGCTGATAATCTGGATGAGACATGAGGAGAGATGGATCCAAGATCTATTGCAGGGCTGGGGTTGTGGCTCAGTGGTAGAGCACTTGCCTGGCATGTGTGAGGCCCTGGGTTTGATCCTCAGCACCTCATATAAATTAATAAATAAAATAAAAGATCTATTGATAACTAAAAATATATATTTTAAAAAAGATCTATTGCAGAGGTCAAACTGAGGATTGATTTGGTACCTAATTCAATGCGGAGTTGAGGGAGAGGGCAGGGTCCAGAATGACATGCAAGTTCTGGGGTGGGGGACTGGCCCAGAGAAGCTATGGCATGCTCGTAGTCTCACAGCTGTGCCAAGGTGTGGGCTCAGTTCCCTCACATAGGTTCCTGCCCCAGCTCTTACCCTGCCTCACAGGGTGACCTGCTGTGAATCCCCTTAGCAAGTCCCCCCTTGTTATATTGATTATCACAGTATTTTGAATTTAGAAAATGTTTCTCTAGGGTGTTGAGTAAAATTTGGGATCACACAGGAGGGTGACGCCTGGGCAGGCCTTGGACTTCAGGGTGGTGATACACTGAACAGGAAATGCTCTGCCTAAACTGCACCTGGGTCTCCCTCCCGTGGACAATTAACTTGTTGTTTTCTTGTGTCTGCTGGCTCCAGAAGACGGTCTCAAAATAGGCTCCTTTGTCTTTCTCTTGCTGGAGCCCGCAGGCCTGATACTGAAACAGGTTCATGGTGTTTGGTTTGCTTCCGTGGCAGATCATGTGGTGCAGGCGGGCGGCATGGAGTCAGCCAGGTGGGACTTTGCTCCTCACTCCCGTGTACCAGGATACATCTGAACCTCAGTTTTTCTTCTTGGATGCAACACATTTTTGTTGCGAATAACAACAGCTACCTGGCAGAGTTGTTGTAACAGAGAGAAGAGGCATGAAGTGCTGAATATGGAATATGTGCTCTGTAATAATAATTGTTATTGTTATTCCCCTTCCCAGAATAGAGGGAAAGAGAAGACGACTCATTAGTGTTTTGGGATCTGATAGGCTAAGGAAACGTACTCTGCTAATGCAGTTCTCAATTGCCCAGCAGAGAGCTGAGATTGATTTCTAGGTGGAACTGCTGGTGGGGCCTGGCCTGGTATCTAGCTCCTGGGCTCAATCTGAACATTTCCCATGACCAAGAGGCAGCCCAGGTTTCCCTGGAAGCATGTAGGGTGGCAATGCTGCTAATCCCCACCCATGGCTGTATATCCTTACAGTGTATGGACTCTGAGCTTTCTAACTACCTGACTCATAGGTCCCTTCACTCAGGCCCAGCTCAGCAACTTGGGGAAGTGATGAGTAGCTGGAACTCAGAGACATCCCCTCATGGTTGAATAGATGCTTCCTGCATTCAGAATGTGGGTAATGTGTGTCTCCTGGCTAGAACTTTCTTTTTTCTTTTAACTTTCTTCTCTCTCTCTTCTGTAATGGGGCTCCAACTCAGGGCTTTGTGCATGCTAGGCAAGTGCTCTACCATTGAGCTACATCCCCAGTCCTTTTTGTTTTTTATTTTGACACAGGGTCTCCCTAAGTTGCCAAGGCTTCATAAACTTTTAATCCTCCAATCTTGCTCTCCCAAATTGCTGCAATTACAGGCATGTACCACTCTGTCTAGCTTGTGATGGGTCCTTGCTACCCATAGGATACATGAATCCATTCTCAGCATGGCATTCAGGCTTTTCTTGCACTGTCTTAGCCCTGTTTCTGGCCTCATTTGCCCTTCCCCACTCCAAAACACCAGCCCTGCACATTCTGGCCTTTCTCCTCCTCCTGTTCATGCTGCTCTCATCCAGGATGCTGCTGCTCTTCCTTTTTCCTCCCCAGTGACTTCCTGATCATTCTTCAAGGCCAGCAGAAGTGGCATTTCCTTTAGCCTTTGCCATCTCTGCAACCTCCAAAAGTATAACTAAGAATTAACCTGCTGGCCAGGCATGGTGGTATATGCCTATAATCCCAGTGGCTCAGGATGCTGAGGCAGGAGGATTGTGAGTTCAAAGCCTCACCAACTTAGTGAAGCCCTAAGCAACTTAGTGAGACCCTGTCTCTAAATATAATATTTTTTAAAAGTCTTGGGATATGGCTCAGTGGTTAAGCTCCCCTGGGTTCAATCATTAGTACTAAAAATAAATAAACAAACTAGCCTGCTTCTCTGCTTTTGCTGCCCTTTGTACAAATTTCTGCTAAGAGCATGCATCATTACGAATCACTTTCTTCTGCACAGTGCTTGCCATATGATGAGTCATTCTGTGTTGAATGAATGAATGGATACCTTAGTGAAGAACAAATGTGCTTATGGATGTGCAAGGCCCTTTCATGTCTCACTTGGAAAATGTAAATGAGGTTACAGGTAGAGTTTAATTCAATAATGTGAACATTTCTTGAGGGCCTGCTATAATCCAGAGGGGAGAGTGACAAATATCAATGTGACGTAGCACCTGACCTCCAGGGGTCCACTGTGTACAGGGAGATGCATACAGTGATTCCATGGAAGGCCATATAAAATAAACACTAATGGATTCTCACCAAATAATGCCTGCTTCCAAAGGGTGAGCTCTTTGTGTGAGCAGAGTGGAGATCATCCTGGTGTGTGTTGCAAATTCACCATAGATGTGGTAAAGTGGGGCTGGTAAGGGTAGATGATGTTGAAGTTACACAGATGGAAGGGACATTGAGGCTGGCTGCCCCTCAGTGCCAGGTGGCACCTGACAAGCCTCCTGCAAGACAAACAACTAGGAAGTGGGGCTCAGTGCCATCCAGGAACCTCACCCATTTCTACACAAATAAAGGTCTTCTAGGGAGTATTTGTAAGTGGTTTTATGCTTATTTTGGATTTGGGAGTTTTCCCTGAGTATGGGTGTGTCCTTTCTTTCCCATCCCCACCCTAACCTGATCCAATTTGAAAATCTGAAATGGAAGAGTCTCCAGGACTAAGGGTATTTTAAGTAAAAGAACAAATCATGAGAAATTATTAAAATTGGATGAAAGCCAAAACTCTGAGCGGGCCTTTTGATTTACCCCTGTAGTGCCTAGAATCATCCTCTGTGCTGTTCTTAGGTTCATAGTGTGATCAGGACCACTGGTTAAGCTTTCCTAAGAATGATAATGATAATGCTTTAAGTGCATATGGAATTTTTCTAGAATGTAGCATGCTTACACATCTTTTTTTCTCATTTAACCCATTGAAGTAGAAGATATTCTCACTTTTTTTAACATATAAAGCAATTGAAATTCAGAGAGATTAAATAATTTGCCAAAAATCACACAGATATTGAATGTTGAGGACTTGAACTTAATCAGAGAGGAAACTCTAAGAAAAGCTGAGTTATTTCACCAGATGCTAAC